TACGGCTAAGATTCTCTTGGGATTATGAAGGTAAACCTATTCGGGGGTAAACAAGGTGCATTATGGTGGAAGTGAATTTTATCGAATTTTGACTTTAGACACTGCAGGGAATGAAACGGTTAAATGAATTTTTATTTTGATTACTTCACCACAGTTTGACCGAGAAGGTCAAGCCGAGATGAACAGCTTGAATTTTATGGGTTTTCCGTTCATGCTGAATTCATTTCGTCTGTATGGCTTACTCTTGCAGCTGAATGCACATTTGAGAATTTCTTGAGTTCCTCGTCAGCCTTGTGTGGTTGGACACAAGATACCAATGATGATTTTAACTGGAGTCGTGCGTCTGGTAGCACCACTAGCTATAGAACAGGACCTTCCTTTGACCACACCTACGGAACTAATAAAGGTAGGTATGCAGGTCTGCCATATAAGTACACAAAGCTATAATTCAGTAATAATAATTAATGGAAATTACATGTTCAGTGGTAGTATAGACAGTGCCTTGAACCGTAGAAGTTAGCTGGTCATTATTGTGGTAGTGAAGCACAACATCCTTGAATTACTTTAGCTAATGCTTTATATTTCTTCTTTTAGGCTACTATATGTATATTGAAACATCATATCCACGAAGAAGAGGCGACAAAGCGAGACTTACCAGTCAAAGCTACACCGCTGTTAAAGGTGGCCAATGCTTTCGGTTCTGGTACCATATGTATGGCAATGACATTGGCACATTGAATGTCTACGTCAAAGTTGGAAACAATCTTGGTATCCCTGTGTGGGTGAGGTCTGGTAATCGTGGAAATGTTTGGAAGGTTTCCCAGATAACCATTACAGCTACGTCCAATTTCAGAGTACGTGCTTGTCATTGCTTCTTTCTGTAGCCGTGCTTTGAACTTGTAATTCCAGTCGAACCTCCGCGAACGGCCGCTTCTCCACAGTGGCCACTTTTTTGGCGATTCTTCTGTCCCTAAGGTTGCCGTTGAGGACAGGTTCAACTGTATGCAGATAGATACAGTTCAGGTTAAAGCGTTGAAAGCGTTGTTTTCATAACTGAAATGTTCTTCTTTTAGAAAAAAGTCGATGGTCAGTGATGGAATGAAATCAAGTAGTTTAAGGGTTTATGGGGGCAGTCTGGTTAAAAGAACAATTATTTTTTCGTTTTTTTTCCCCGCTTTTTCTTTAAAATCTAGCCAAGATTTCATTCAGTCGAAAATGGCTCAATGAAGTTTGGTTCAATGATTTTGTGAGAATTCCTGGATGATTTCGGAATGTTTTATATGTATTAAAGTTAGGGTGGGAGACGTTTAAATTTTTGGAAAATTGGAAATAGACAAATACCAGATAGTCAACTAAACCACAACAAGGTGCCTTTGAGCCCATTATCGGACAAACTGGTTTATGTGTATACCTTTTCTATCTTTATTTATTTCCTTCCCAAATCAACACCATTTTCCCCAAAAAAACAACCAGACTGCCCCCTTAAATATGGTGAATTTTACCTGAGAGGTCTTGTTTGTCCATAACGCAGGAGAGAGGTGTTAGAACATCTCAAATAAATGTTTTCGTAGCGGGAAGATGTATCAAGGAGGGATCGTTGTCTTAGTCAAAGTAATTATTTTAGTAGCGGAAAGTTTTTTTAAGGAGGCGTAGTCGTGTTAGTCAAGGGAACATCTTTCCACCTTAAGCATCGGTAAAGAAAACTTGTAAATATTTGCCAACAAGTGGTCAGCATACGAGTGTGATAAGTAACAGAAATCTTGGACTTAACACTCTTTTTTCTCTCTGTCTTGTCCATGGCAGGTTGTATTTGAGGGTATCGTCGGTAAGAGTTACCAAGGTGACATTGCTATTGATGACCTCCAGTTGTTTAATAGTCCTTGCCCATTACCAGGTAATCTTTGTTAATGTTACCCTTATGTCCTATAACTCAAAAGTTGAAATGTTAGTTTTACAAGCCCAACGTAGATTTACGGCACACAAGACATTTTCTGTTATAGAAAAATTAAGCGCAGAAATCAACAGTACAGAAATGCGATTACCCCGGCAGGAAATGACTGTAATCTGTACCACTTTTCTGTAGTTCGTTTTTTCCGTTTTGGCTCGCCAAAAGGTGATCGGGTGCAAGCCACTTTAAGTGATATTACTTGTGTTACCGATCACCCTGGTTGTTTTTCTTCCATCTATTGTGAATTTTTTACCTACTGAACATCATGGGAGTTTAAGAATTCTTTGAAACGTGTCCGTGCTTTCCAGACCGGAGTACCCGGAGTAAAACCTCTCTGAGCAAGGAAGTGAACCATCGAGAACCGTCGACGCCGGGATTCGAACCCAGGCGACATTGGTGGGAGGCGAGGGCTCATATCACTGCTCCACCCTTGCTCAATAGCATCTAGACTCGACGTCTATCTTTTTAACAGGAGGCACTATTTTTTTTGTCACTGTTCAGGTGATTGTGACTTTGAGAGTGGATTGTGTACATACGATAACACTCAGGATGAAGATCAGTTTGACTGGTTGAGAAACGCGGGAGCCACTTCAAGCTGGCGGACGGGGCCATCGGTTGACCATACTCTAGGAACAGCTTTAGGTATGAAAAAAAGGGGAAAAAAAGCTTCTTGCACTTATTAAAAAAATAGTCATACCTACGTTGAGCAGAAACACGCCGGACCCTTGCCCGATCATACAGGAATGTTACTCTAAAAAGAGAAACGGAAGAAGAAGAATCGGGAAAACGGGGAACTGGAAATAACACCGTTACTCTTTCTTTGGTCCGCTTTATAGAAAAAAAGGGGAAACGAGGATTTACTGATGCTCGCGTCTGCTTAATATGGGGTCACCTTATTGCAGGTTTCACTTTATTTTTTATGTTTAAAATTTGCTAGAATCGAACATTTCAAGTGAAAAACCTTAAAAAAACTAACTTTATTCACTGGCTCATTGACAATAGCAAGTCTTGTATCAAAAATTAAGCTTAACTGACAAAGTAAATCGTTTTTTGGGTGTAGGACATTACATGTATATAGAAACGTCAGCTCCACGTAGGAAAGGCGACAAGGCTCGTCTTCTCAGTGAAGATTTCTCACCCACTACAATTAGAGGAAGGTGCGTTAAATTTTGGTACCACATGTATGGTGCTACCATTGGAACCCTCAGAGTTCTTGTGAAGACGGGGCCAGGAAACCAGTCAGAAAGCATAATCTGGGAATTGAGTGGAAACTTTGGTAACCAGTGGTACAGCGCACAGGCTCCAGTGTCAAGTGGAAAATATTATCAGGTACAAGCTTTCTAATGTTAGCTGAAATTAGCCAAATAGCATTTTTATATCTTAATTTTAATTTTTAATTTTTAGTTTTAATTTTAATGTTTAGTTGAATGACTGCAAATAATAGTAAAACCTGTGTTAAGCGCGGGAGCTGTCACTGGTTTATACTTGATAGAGGTGTTTGTCTAATGCACATCTGTTTTACAGAACACGTGGGAAGAAAAGTTTAAAGCTTGTTGCTGCTCTTGCCCGCTTTTATGTAATGTTGCCACTTACGAAGTTCATCTGTCGTCCCTGGGAACAAAGAGAAGGTCAAGTATCGTTACTAATTGTTGCATACACCACTTTGTTCTTGACAGATCGTCTTTGAAGCTGTGCGGGGCAGTAGTTTCAGTGGAGACATTGCCGTAGATGACATATCATTTGCTACAACTCGATGCTCTGTAGTGCCATCTATAGCAGTGCCTCCAACACCTCCGCCGACTAAACCTACACCTATTATAAACAACTGCACATTTGAAGGCGGATTCTGTTCATGGACCAATCTTAAAGGAGACAACTTTGACTGGACAAGAAGTCGCGGGGGAACATCTTCCTGGAACACTGGACCCACTGTGGATCATACATTAGGAACAAATCAAGGTATTAATAATTAGTAGTTAGCGCAGACGAATGTGAAGGCGTGTGTGGCAGAGCGGTTCAGACCTCGACCTTAAGATCTGGAGGTCCAGGTTTCAAGTCTCGCCCGTCGCGTTGTTTCTTTAGACAAGGAACTTTTACTCCACTTACCTATCTAAAAGCCAGTTAACACGGAAGACGAAATTTTTCGCTTTGGGATGTGATCATCATAAGCATTGTCGAGGCGTGTGTCGCGAGCGGTTAACGCCTCCTGCTCCTCGTCTCTCTTCACCGAGGTGTATAAATGTGTACTGACAACATACTGCTGGATGTAACCCTGCGATGGACTAGCATCCCATCCAGGGGGAGTAGCAATACTCCTAGGCATGCTTCATGCCAAGGAAATTACGGATAAGCTGCAGCCGTTTGGGCCTTTGGCTCGTGTGCGCCTTAACCTTTACCAGACGAATGTGTGCACAGAATGGATTATTAATACAAGTAGTACACTTCTTTCTGTATGAAGCTAAGATATTTGTCTGATTGTGTTGAAAATTTATTTCTTCAGGTTACTACGTGTACATTGAAACATCCTCTCCACGTAGCCCTAATGACAAGGCGCGGCTCCAGAGTGGGCTTGTACAACCTACTACTGTCACCAATGGGCGGTGCTTAAAGTTCTGGTACCACATGTGGGGAGATCATGTAGACACACTTAATGTGTACCGCAAAGCTGGCTCAGCACAAGTGAGGTAAGGCATACAGTTGGTATAGGTATGATTTATCTCCAGCTTTCCCAAAGTCCCGAAATGTTTTTTCTTTTTTTTTTAAATAGAGATGAGAAATGGTCACGTCACGTTGCCACGATCGCAAAAACTTTGGATGACAGCAAACCGAAAAACTCACTTAAAAGTCTTCTGGCACTATTTCAAACTTCACCGATCTTATTCAATTTCATTTAATTGGGCAAATCTTCTTTGGGACCGTATCTGTCGTTATCTGAGTTAAGAAAAAGAATTCGACAATTTTTTGTCTTGTGTTCACCAACATGTACTCCATTAAGCGGGCTGGAGAAATTAGGAAGTTTCGGTGCAACAACGGCAAAGAAATGTACAAAATAGCGTGATGCACGCGCGAAGTTGTTGTTTGTTAACATAGACATATTATTTTTTGCCGTCCTCCTTGCCGTCGCCGTCGTCTTTGGTTTTGTTGTCATCCAGAAATAGTGCTACCATGGTAACCTGACGTCTCACTTCTCCTCTCTATGGCAGTTACCACTGCGACGATCAAAAATGTATTTCCGCAGTTCACATCATGTTCAGTTCATGTTTCATTCCTTTCACTGGTTAAGAGGAACTCAACAAACTGGTCTGCTCCCAATTTATAACTTTTCATAGCTCAGTTGGTAGAGCACTGCAGCGCTAACGCAGAGCCCATGGGTTCGAATCCCGTTGAAGTCCCGAAATATTTTTTCCGGTTAATTTACAGTTGCTTTAAGTGCAATTACCACTGCGACGATCATATTTTCATTAATAATAATAATAATAATAATAATAATAATAATAATAATAATAATAATAATAATAATAATAATAATAATAATAATAATAATATTTCCGCAGTTCACATCATCTTCGTTTCCTACCTCCAGCTGTATTGCTCTTATTACAGTAAAGTTTTTTGGCTTGTAACATTTGTTTATCTTCTGCCATTTTACAGGCTGTGGACTCGCAGAGGAACCCAAGGCAACAAGTGGCGCTATGCCCAAGTTAACCTGATAAGCTCCCAGCCATTCTATATCATCTTTGAGGGTGTGCGCGGAAGCAGCTATATGGGAGATATCGCCCTGGATGATTTGGATATTGTTGATGGGCCTTGTCCTCCTCCTAAGTTCTGTGATTTTGAAACTGATATGTGCAAGTGGAGCAATATTCGTGGAGATGAGTTTGACTGGAGACGTGACAGTGGAGGGACGCCCTCGCTGGGAACAGGACCTTCTACTGACCATACAACTGGAACGAGAAATGGTTTGTTTTCGTTTTTGTGCCTCTCAACTCCTTCACTCTCAACAGCGAAAAAAAGGCTGCTAACCTCGTTATGGGGTTAAAAATACCAGATTTTAATGTTATGAGACACTGGAAAAGAATCGGCGGTGCCAGAGGAAAGGAGTACATGATAGAATGTTTTTTAATGGTTACCCTTCATGATTTTATTTATAGACTAGATAGTCGGAACTTACGCACGTGTCCATAATTTACCCTTTTTGTGAAAGTTGAGAAAGGTTCAACACCTTCCATACTTTTAGAACTTGGATGAAATTCATTGGTGTTTTTTTATACAATAGATAAATAGATGCTGTTACAAAGGTCATTTTCTTGAAGCTTTTATTGATATCCCATAGCGCAGGAATTAAGAGCAGAGTGTCTGTTTCACAAACCTCTTTCCCTTCGATAAATAAGCAAGTAAATAAAACAAGTAAGTACATGTAAGATATCAAGGGAACCAAGGGAACGAATTGATTCACGTGTCTGAAAAACTGAAATACGTTCACTGCTGTGGTCATTCTGGCTAGGCAAGTTACCAAACGACGAAAAAGCTACCCTCTAACTGGCCAACCCGAGCGGGAAAGATGGGCTTATCTTACCTGCTTTGTTCTTGGAAAAAAATGTTATGAAAGAGGGAAAGAAAGAAAAAAATTTGCCAGAATCAAGCCGTCTTTACTTCACGCATGGTTAATAACGCTTTTATTTTCATTTTCCTGAATGCTTTCAGGTTATTATATGTACATCGAAACCTCCTTTCCAAGAAAACCAAATGACAAGGCGTGGCTGATTAGTCCTCAATATACTCCTGCTCCTAATGGCAAATGCTTTAATTTTTGGTACCACATGTCTGGCCGTCATATTGGCTCACTTAATGTCTACCTTAAAGATTCTATAAGGTTAGGTAAAATGGTGTGGAATGAGACAGGCAATCAAGGCAGCTCTTGGCTTCAGGCCAAGGCACTGATCAAGACAAATCTTCCATTCCAGGTATGACTTAGAAGAGTTTTAGTATAAACAGTAGGATCAAAGGAGCTGGGCTGATATGGTGACCAGTTAGTACTCATCCTGTCTGATCTTGATATGTTGTTGTTAGTTTGTGATATAAACATAGTTGAATGAGTGCAACTCATATGTGACGTTAACCTGTCGCTTATTTTAAAAACCAGCTAGTCAGTAACACTCAATTTATTTCATGACTATGCGTAACAAAATTTCATAATACCTTAATTAATTTCCCATACTTTTTTTTCAAGATTGTTATTGAAGGAGTTAGGGGACAAAGCTATGCTGGTGACATTGCGGTGGATGACGTTTGGATTGATGACAGTCCTTGCCCACCGGAAGGTTGGAATTTCCATTACATAGCTTATAATCTATTTCATTCCTGAGAGCAGCGAATTAGAAAATCGCAAAAGCTAAAATTGACTCATGACGGAAGTGTTCGCCTAGGACAAAGGTTGAATTGTTTTTGGATAAATTCAAAGTCAAACACGTCAGACGCTTCCGACGAGGGCGTTGTCATTTTTCCTCTGCCGACAGTTATAGCTGAAATTTACTTGCTTTAATGTAGAGGACCACAGAACATGGAAAACAATTTGCCAAAAATATAAGTACGCTCGCACTCTAATTAGCCGCGTCTCCTGTTGCTTTTAGCCTTTCTATCTAGCCTTTCTTTATCCAATCTTAATGTTGCTTTTATTTTTTATATTTTGTCAATTTTCGGGTCCACAGTAATTGGTTTGCCGTGAAATTTTGAAAGCAAGCCCCTCCATGTATAAGCCCCTCCAAATATAACCCCCCCAGACTCGTAACGCAAAAACCCCTCCGTTAAATCGCCCCTCCAAATATAAGCTCCTTGGGGCTTGTACTTGTAAATTGCCCTAAAATACAAAGTAAAACAAAGCAAAAACGGTAAACTTCCTTCCAACTGTAAGGCTAGCCCAATCGATTTTGAAACGCAAATTTCCCTCCATAGATTAGCCCCTCCGAATATAAGCCCCTTCAAAAGGGCCTTTGAAAATTGTAAGCCCCAGGGCTTATTTTCGGAATTTTACGGTATCTGTTGTGGTTACCCTGCCATGTGGTATATGCATGTTATTATTATTGCTATTATTATAGCGAAGCGTAATAAATGAATAAATGAATAAATTTGAAAATAACCGTTATAACAATGTGTAAAGCCGTGCTTACTGGCATTCAGTAACAGCTGTGATGTCTTATTGAAGGGTTATTTCACCATCTTTATCACTGCAGGGAGCTGTGACTTTGAGGAAAAGAGTTTCTGCACGTGGCTGAATGTACCGAATGCAAACCGGTCAGTGGGTCTTGATGACTTTGATTGGACTTTGGGAAGTGGCTCTACTCCAAGTTGGCAAACAGGACCATCAACTGACCATACCACTGGAACAGCTGTTGGTGAGTTCTTCATGTACAGTGATGCTTTCATTGCTGTCATGCATGAGAAATGGAAAAAACCACTTGCTTGTGGAGACATTCTGAAAGCTCAGAGTAATTTGCCGTGGCTTTCTTAAAAGTTTCATGCTCGCCTCTAGCTCTTCGAAAAAGTCTAGAATTTTTGCTAACCGATTAGTACTGATGCATTTGTCTTACCTTGTTACCACCGCTGCTGGTAATAAGAAGTGATTTTAAACGGTACTAAGGACAAACACCACCTTTCTGTTTAAATATTTTTTCTGTCCTCAAGGGCATATAATACAGTAATTCTGGTAACAAATTTTTCATTGGAGGTAAATAGCATCAATTGCTAAGTCTCTTTTTAAGGCCACTTCCACGTCTGCTGTGCTTCAACGCTTACAACTATACTTAACTACTGATTCTTGTTGATTTTATGCAGGGACCTATGCATTCATTGAAACTTCCTATCCACGAAAGAAAGGTGAAATTGCACGACTGAAGAGTAAGATGTTTTCGTCCACAACTGGGAAATGTATGTCTTGGTGGTTTCACATGTATGGTGCCACTGTTTCGTCCCTCAATCTCTACATGAAACAGGCTGGCAAACCAGAAGCTTTGATGTGGAATCTCAATGGTTCTCAGGTACAGTGTTTTGCATTGGTGGCAAATAAGTATCTATTTTTGATCACTTTCGTAGAATGGCAACAGAGTTAATTTGATCAAGGTCAATTTGATGGGCTAAGTTAAGTTGACGGGCGTTGAGGAGAAGCCGTTGGCCTTGCCTTTTTCATCTTCACACATTAATCACAATGGAATCTAAAAAGACCCTTCACATAGTTCTAAAAGAGTATTAGACCTACACCCTAATACCAATGCCTTTCTAACTTGTGCAGTCGTTGGTTTCTGGGTGAGGTAAGATCATACATTGGCGGTAACAAAGAATGTCTTGATATGTTGACTCGTGATCAAACCTCTCTGGTTCTTTCGTATGTCAGCGACTGACTGCAAAACACTGACAGGAAAATTTTCACCGTTATTTCTTTTTTTAGCTTAATTAATTGTGGTCAAAATTTTTGCCATACTCGCGAATTTCATAAGTTGTTTAACGTACGTACCGTCAGCCCAAAGGAGAGGTCACTCAAGGAATAGTACACTGAAGTTTTTTTTTTTCCCGTTTGTGTTTTTATAGGGCAACGTCTGGAAGAAAGCGGAAGTAACAATAACCAGTCGAATCAACTTTCAAATGATTTTTGAAGGTGTCAATGGAAAGGACTATAAGAGTGACATTGCAATTGACGACATCTCTTTTGCGGATGGATACTGTGTAGGACTATGCTCTTCTGTTAACGCATATAAGCGGGTTGACTGCGGCTTTTTAGGTATAACCAGAGCACAGTGTGTGGGAATCCGCAGATGTTGCTGGGATGATTCTGTTCCTAATGTTCCAAAGTGCTTCTATCATCCGAGTGCATGCAAAAGCATCATTCCCGCTAACAGGTTTGTTTTTACTAAGTAAAGGATGGTCCCCTGTGTTAACCTTCTTTAACTTACTCCGGGGTAAATTAAGTTTTTATCAAAAAGAATATTTACCTTACTTTACCCCCCCAAATCAGATATTGATAACCCCATCGCTTCTTTAGCTATAATACAATATTACTACAACATTACAATGTTATTGTAAGTTGAATAAAAAATAGTTGTTCTCGTAGATCATCCCTAGAGATTGTCTTGATTCAAATGTCTGTTGTATGTACTTTTAGACAACGTTGTGGCTACAGCGGCATTTCTGCATCACAGTGCCAGTCACGTGGGTGTTGCTGGGACAACTCAGTTCCAAATGTTCCTTTTTGCTTCCACGGTCCTACCAGACCAACTCCTTTCCCTACAACACCACCCCCTCCAACTACCTTGCCACCATCTAAGTGGGACTGCACATTTGAGACTGGACTTTGTAACTGGAACAACTCAAAAGAGGATGACTTTAACTGGCACAGACAGTCTGGTAGCTCCCCATCGATTGGGACTGGTCCCACTGCAGATCACACGACAGGAAGCCAGCAAGGTTAGAATTAAACTGCGATCATTGGTAACCTTGTACTTGATAAAGAATAACATTTGCTTAAAGCGCAAGCGTTTTGCTTAATTCTTTCTAACACATATCAGTAAACGAGAGTGATATTAATAAGGATCGTATCACGAAAATCAATCTCACTTCTTGCCTCAGCTGCTTGCTGACCTAAATTTGGTGGTGACATCTTTGGATATGAAAATTAATTTTGTAGTTTCATTTGTGCTAAATTGTATTTCAATGAAAGAGTTGAGATAAACGTCGTTCATCCATGAGGCGCCCTCATCTAGTTAATATGAATACAGTGGCGACACATGGCAGACACCGAAAAGGGTAGAAGAGGAGGGAAAGAGAGAGAAAAACCTCACCCCCTTCTGCGCCTGCCATTCAAACTTTGTCAACCCATGTACTTTCTCCTCTTGTAAAACAATCAAGAACTGAGCTGTAGTTATTCTTAAGTGCCATTGTGTTCCTTAGTTGTTCTTTGGGCTGTCGGTCTATCTTGTCTGAAACGATTTCTTATAATATTTATGATACATTTTCTTGCAGGGTATTATGTTTACATTGAAACCTCCTGGCAGTCTCCAAATGACACTGCTGTCCTAGAAAGTGCTGTGGTTCCTCCAACATCTGGCAAACCAAATAATATGATCTGCTTACAGTTTTGGTATCACATGTATGGTCAGCATGTAGACACTCTAAACTTGTTTATGAAGCGAGGACAGCAGCTTCCCGCAGCACCAATTTGGACCAAAAGTGGCACGCAAGGTAACAGGTGGAGGCGTGGACAGGTGGCCGTAACAAGTACATCTAAGTTTCAGGTGAGGCAGTTGTCGTAAGTTCGATCTACACTGTAAAACGTTGTCGCTTACAATTGCCTACGATGATTTTACGACACGACATGTATCAAACGTACGACAATCCGCGTAAGTGTGTTTTAGGTGTGATTTACACCAACTCGTGTCGTTGGCTTATGATGGTAAAAAGGTAGGTTAAAGGCACACACGAGCCAAAGGTCCAAACGGCTGGAGCTTATCCCGGTTTCCTTAGCACGAAGCATGTCTGGTAGGAGTATTGCCACTCCCCCTGGACGGGATACCAGTCCATCGCAGGGTTACCCCAGCAGTATGTCGCATGGACCCATTTATACATCCAGATCAAGAGAGAGAAAGAAGAGTTAAGTTCCTTGTCTAGGGAAAAAACGCGACGGGCAAGGTTTGAACCCGAGACCTCCAGTTCCAGAGTACGAGGTGTTAACCGCTCTGCGACACACGCCTCCACAAGACTTATGACGCGTGCATCGCAAAGCGAAAAAGTCTGTGTTCCATGTTAATTGGCTTTTAGATAGGTAATTTGAAAAGTTAACTCTCCTTTTAGGCACTGGCTTAAAAGAGAACCCTCATCTGAAGTGCGTCAGTGACTTTCTGTATGCTTATGCTGTTAGTCTCTTCTCTCTCTTTACACCACATTCAGTGACCTAGGTTGCTGGATGCAAGCTGCACTTTTTTGGTAGGTGTTTGGGTAGAGAAAACCCGCATATAAAATATTGTTTCCAACGCGACTGTTCATTTTTTATTGTATGTTTCAGTTTGGTTTCCAAGGAACAAGAGGACTCAGCTATCAGGGAGACATTGCCCTTGACGATATCAGTCTCCTAGATGGACCTTGCCCACTTTTTCGTAAGCTAATTAAAAATGTGGTTATTGGTCATATTATTTCTGCTGATTTAAAGCATTTCTTTTTCTTCTTCATAGCTTCATGGCCTAGTTTGCACAAGGGATATACCATACTTTGTGAAGTAGTGACTAGACCTTTTTATTCTAGATAACGTTCTTTCAGAAGGCTTTTTTGGCTGACAGGTGTTTCCAGATTTGTATGTTGCTTGAGCTTAGGCTTGTGCGTTTAAGGAAGGATTTCCATTCTAAGGCCGTAGGCAAACGTGAAAGTTAAGCCAGGGTGAACTTTTAGTTTTATGCGCTACCATCCATACAATGCGCGTAAAATTTACGTGCGTAGGGCACGTGAAAATTACGTGACAGTGGAAATCCACCTGAAGCTTAGCATTGCAACTTAACAGGGAATAAAAAATTATAGCTGGGCGAACGGAGGCATATCTATTGATTTATTTAACTATTAAAGCTTTTGTCTCCTTCAGCATACTGTGATTTTGAGTCGCCTAACATCTGTGGGTACACCCAGGACCAGGGAGACATTTTTGACTGGTCTAAAGGAAGTGGAAACACAACTTCTATCGGAACAGGACCCCCTTCAGACCATACTTATGGTACTGCTTTTGGTAAGTAGTTTAAGCTAAGGTGGAGTACAGATTTATATTGAATAGAAGTGAAGTGTTGTATCCCTGAAGCCTAAAATTTGCTATCAAACTTTAAAATTCATGTCAAATATTGTTCGCTAAAACAGCTGCAGTAAAGAGGTCTTGAGAAAGGTCTATTGTATGCTGCAAATAAAGCACCGTCTTGGGGTTGCAGATCTGAAGTACAAATCCAGTCAATCCGCTCTTGGGGTACTATCCTTGCTTCCTTTTCTAAGAACTTTAAGAATACGCCCTTTTTTGTTTGAGGTTGTAAACAACATTCACGCGTTAATGTTAATTGTATCCATTTGTTGGCACTTCTATTTGTCTGGAGTAAAACAGCCTTTTTTTTGCTAGGACACTACATGTATATTGAGACGTCAAGTCCCCGCAAGCCAGGAGACTATGCGCGCCTTGAGACTCCTACTTACCAGGCAACCGATGGAAATGGAAAGTGTCTAATGTTTTGGTATCACATGTACGGTAGTGGTATTGGAAGACTGAATATTTACATCAAACGTGGACAATCTCTTGGCACACCAGCATGGACCATGTCTGGTAACCAAGGCAACAGATGGTTGAGAGGAATGTTGACTGTTAAAAGTCCAAATCAACAGTGGAAGGTACATGTTCGATTCTCAAGGGTGAAAATTGTCAGTACCTTCATACGTGTGGTGTTTTTTTTTGTACCCTCTATTTATATTTTAAAGTAGGACTTTTTTCCCTTACCGTTTAGGCTGTATTTGAAGGCATGAGAGGTCGGGGATATCGAGGAGATATTGCCATCGATGACTCAGAAGTCAAGAACGGGCCTTGTCCACCCCCAGGATCATGTGACTTTGAAAGAGGCTTGTGTGCTTATCAGAATGATTTAAGTGGTGACGATTTTGATTGGGAGCGAAACACTGGTCACACTACAAGTATTGGTACTGGACCATCTATTGATCATACAACTGGCACAACGAAAGGTAGCAATCAAATCTCTATCCTCTGGGACTCCTCAAAACAGCAAACATATTATGTTTTGTACTTTTCTAACACAGATTATGAAAACTAAGAGTAACGTCTGAGTCCAACAGGAGGTCAGAATTAATTCCCTTTCTCCTGGACGGTGTTTGGTTTTCAGGTTATGAATAGTCTTTGATAGTCTTTTCCAGTGAAGTCGTTGACTGTTTCAAAAAAACTGCAGGTTACTTTCTTTTCAATGTCTTAAAAAATGCAAAAAATCACGGACTTCCTTTATTAAATCGTGTGATCTAAAACGAAATACATTGTATAATGTAAAGTGTTGGCAAGAGCGAGTCACCAACGCCGGACTGAGCGACTACCGTTCAATTTTGTGAGACAGGATCAGACACAGAAGGCTTTGTCTTGCTTGCCGTTGCCACCATCACCACGAATTACCAGCAAATCAGCTTGTCCTGTGGCGGCCAACACACGGACACCTACGACGCGGTCGCCTAGTGTCAACATTCATAGACACTCTGATGAGGGATGCTGGAACGGCAACCACCAGCAAACTCTCAGCCTGCCTGGACAATAGAGTGGACTGGGCGACCAGTTGACTAGGTCGGCTGAGGCCGCCTGAATGATTGAATGAATGAATGATATACTTCTGCATTCTTTGCCAGTCACTTGTGATGTTTTGACTGGTATCTTTTGTCTTCAGGGCATTACGTTTACATTGAAACTTCCTCCCCAAGAACGAAAGGAGAAATTGCGCGACTAACGTCAGATAGGTTTAAAGTCAGCAAAAGTCACAACTGGTGCATGAGTTTCTGGTATCACATGTATGGTAACAGCGTCGGCTCACTCAAAGTCAAGCTCAAGATTTATCCTTTTAATCCCAGTCGATATTACTACTCAACAGTATGGACAAAGCTATCTAACCATGGAGACGTTTGGTTATCGGATCAAGTGCAGCTGAACAGTCCAGATAACTTTGAGGTATGATTAGGTTTTGCATCACCTCTTTTGGCAGAAACTAAATGTAGGGGAGTTGTTTCTTTTAGTAACAGGTAGATGGACAGAGTTGGGATTAGAATTTAATCTACTGCAGAGAGCTAAGATTTTTTTTAAATGAGACCCATTTGGAACCAGAACAAAAATGGGATAAACCGATAATTTTGGTCTTCTACAGATTGTATTTGAAGCTGCGGTGGGCGCGTCATACGATGCTGATATTGCCATTGACGATGTTGTTGTGACTCCTGGTTTTTGTCCGTGTAAGTACAAGTCTGCCACTTATCACTTACATTAAATTGTTTGCCAATTTTTGTAAATTATATTTTAGCCGGTGGAGTTCCAAGTTTTCTACGACTATAAAACGCATCCTTCTGACTTAATGAAATTATTCGCAATTCCAAAGTTTCGGTTTTAGTTGTTAGGGCTGTGTTTGTCTCGTTATATTATGGAGTTGATTTATTTTGGCGTCTTTTTAGAGCTTAGGATTCTTCTCCAGAAGATTCTGAAGCGGACCTATTATAAGGCAATTCCAGGGAAAGTTATTAATGTTTTTCTCCCTATTGTCAGCTCCTTCCCCAACTCCAACACCAAACCCATGTGCCGTGAAGTGCAAGTCTGGCAAATGTGTAAGTTCAACTAAAGTGTGCGATTTTGTGAGTGACTGTGGACCTGGAGACAACAGCGATGAGTTGCACTGCGGCGACTGTACATTTGAACAAGGTTAGATGATGCAGGTCATTGTATCTTTTCGTTTTTGGCTTTTTCATTTGGAAGAATCATAACTTGGTGGAGGCAAATTAATGGCAGTTAGATGGATAGATACACATTCTCATTGCCTATATCAAAACATAAATAACAATCAATTGAAATACGACTCACAGTATACGTACGAACGCAGTGGTATAGAAAGGTTAGTGTTTGATCTCTGTTTGATCTCTCTGTTAAAGATGAGTTTGTTTATTTTTCGTTAATATCGGGCTTTGAATTCCAAATAAGCAAGTCAGTCTTTTCCACACAGACCGTTTGAATGAGGTTTAAAAATAGCACTTAAAAACGTGTCAATACTGCAGTCCAGTTTCAATCCCTACAATGTAACTATGTTGATCATCATACTATGTCAAAGGGTATCACTGGGTGCCATCGCTTTTTCTCACCTTACTTCTCCAATACCAGGCTATTGTGGATGGAATGACACAAGCAAAGGAGCGTTTGATTGGAACAGAGATCGTGGTGGAACGCCATCTTCCAACACAGGACCCACTGTTGATCACACACTTGGTAATCAGATAAATGCTTTTATATATCATTTTCGGTTGTAGTCTATACAACTGGAGAGAGGAAGCAGCCAAGCAATTTACTCCCTGTATTGATTTTATTGCACGAATTATTCTGTTTACGTGTCTCCTGTGAAAGCAGTGAGATACTTTTGAAAAATGTAGACTGGATTCCAAAAACCCAGCTGAACAAACGCCCTCTCCCAAGAATTAACTCACTTTAAAGCGTGATTGTTCAGATTGAAGACGGTTGAATTGATTGTAAATCACCGCAGTTAACGTTGTGTCTGACGAGAATCAATTGCTTGTTTTAGGCACTGCTCTTGGATATTATATGTATGTGGAAGCTTCTCAGGGAGGAACATGGGATCTTGCCAAACTGGAGAGCCCATGGCTGAGACAGTCAGCAGCAACCTGTGTTGTCAGCTTCTGGTATCACATGTATGGCAAAGGAATTGGAACCTTATATGCATATGTAAAAGTTGGTCTTACTTACTCTAAGTTGTTTGAAGAATATGGCACCAAAGGTTAGGCATTATCCTTTTTTATTGTTTATGAGTTATTTAAAAAATAGGTTTGTAGGCATACCGACATACCATACATGACACATACCAAACAGGTATTTGATATAGATTAACTCTTACATCATTGTAAGGGCATCGTGGAAAAAATTGCACGCGAATAACCTCTTTGTTACGTGGGACCCGCCTTGAATTAGAATTAGCTTATTTAAAGCTTATTTCTTCAATTATTATTCCGCGCATTGAGAAGTTGGGCACTGTAAGTATATGTCGCAAAAGACAATAGCATTCTTGGGATGATGATCTTCGAACAGTTACAACATCTTTTTATATAAGGTGTGTAAGACAGGATTGGAACTGAATGACCCCTGCTCAGATGTTATTTATTCCATCAACATTCCTTTAGTTAGTTAGTTTTTTTTTTTTTCAATTATGTCAGAAACTTAGTTTATGAAGTCCTTTTTGCAGGCAAAAACTGGCTTCAAGGAAAACTTTATGTCGGGCGTCACGCCGCACCATTCAAGGTTATTTTTGAGGCTGAGAGAAGTTATAATGTGTTTGGAGATATTGCAATCGACGACGTCAGTTTTGTGAACTGTACTTTGCCACCAGTCGTTAGCAGCTGCCAGAGAGGCCAACATCGTTGTGCGAGAGGATCGTGTATTGATCCGGGGCGTCTCTGTGATTTCACTGATGACTGTGGAGATAACTCTGACGAAACCAACTGTTATAATTATCAGTTTAGGTAAGATGCTCATCTTACAGCTGAGTAAACTACGTAGCAATTGCTGAATTCGGCTTCAGCCTCGGTGGATAACATCCTCCGAGATCTGCAAAATTCTTCACATCCTAGGAAAGCCGAATTCAATAACTGTTTTATTATTCATTCAAAATGTTTTTAAGTTCCGAACAAGTTTACCTCCTCGTAGACTTTCTTCAAACCCTTGGAGTATTTCTCGGTACGGTTAAGTAGATAAAATCTATCGACCGATGTGTCCAGCGTATTCTTGCACATATTTCTTCCTTTCTGATTTAGTTGGAAATCAGCTGTTTCGTCTTAGGATAGCGGGCGTGAACGCCATTTGTTTTAGTTCACTCGTGAATAGTCTGGTTAGCGGCTTGGCGATGGTCTATTGCCCTTACAGCCTTGTTTCCAATCAAATATACCATCGAACCGATGGCATAATGCTAGCATCTTCCAAATATGGTAAGCGCCAGTTGGTTATGAAGATTAGCTGGGGGACAGGAGCCAATCAGAAACAGCGAAATATTTTGAAGTAATAATAATAAGGTGAGTTGTACCTTGTTTAACTATAGCGTGTCATGTGAATACTTTTTTAATGTTCAATGCAGGTGTACTTTTGAACGATCGTTGTGCCGTTGGACACAGCTTTCAGATGATGACTTTGACTGGACAAGAAACCAAGGCTCTACAGCGTCTTATGGTACAGGGCCTATGTTTGACCATACTCTTGGCTCTGCAACAGGTAATAGTGTTACTAATACAAGTAAATGTCCGCGATAGATATCAAATCTCCATTTCTTGAAGTGTTGTGGTAGAGTGATTCATCAGGTAAATAACAAGGAATCTGAAAACTATTTTTAGGCAATAAATTACCAGTCCAAAACCGAGGGGCTGTTAAAAGAGTAAACTGAATAAGTTTTTGAAGATTAAGTAAACTTGCTGTTACTGTTTTTATTTCAAACCTTTTCAGTACTTCTTTCAATACAAATTGTGCTTTCCACTAGAAATGCTTTCACAATGGGGAGGTTTGTTTGTACCAAAAAACACGGTATGAGCTCGTATGAGCAGTGTTTTTAAACTCACGTACGCGGTCCAACCCTGCCTGTTACATGTAGCCTTACTCCGATCGTAATGGTTACACTTCAATGGTGACCTACAAGTATACTCTTCCTCTTAGGATATTACTTGTATTCAGAAGCCTCGTGGCCGCGTAAGAAGGGCGACAAAGCTCGCCTTGTCAGTGGCTTTATCAGCGCATTGGCTCCTGGGGACACCTCATGCAAACTACGTTTCTACTTCCACATGTTTGGTGCCCATATTGGCTCACTAAATGTGTACACGCGCCCATGTAATGGCTGTGCAGAAACGCTGGTGTACTCAAGATCAGGAAATGTTGGTAATTTCTGGGATAGAGCTGAGGTTTCCCTCAAGAGTACCGTGCCTTTCCAGGTGAGGATTTTCCCATCTTAGGGCGAGATTAATTTTTGTAAAAGTGACTTGGTCGGTTGCTAGAACCGCCTTTTTGTGTTGATAGACTTTCAGACCTTTAAGTTAAGATCCTCTCATTTGCTTTGCTAGTAATAGGTCAAGGCACAGACTGAAATCATTACTCTGTCAGCGATGTTGATTCAACGCGTTGTTTGGTATTTACGATTTTATAGGTTGTTATTGAGAGTGTTATGGGCCAAAGCTACCAAGGCGATATCTCCATTGATGACGTATCTTTGAGCCAATTCTGCCGACTCTACACTGGACCAACCCCAACAGCCCCTCCTCCAACCACAGGAGCACCAACAATTCCATTATGTCCTGGATTTAGGTTTAAATGTTCCAATGGACCCTGTATTGATCCAAAGTATGTGTGTGACTACCGCGATGATTGTGGCGATGGATCTGATGAAGTCAATTGTGGTATGTTAACTTCAGTATCTCCCGTATCATCCTTTCTTTTTACAAAAACGGCCTTGACTAGAATGGATGCCCACAAATCAGGTGGTATCCATTCTAAATTAGGTTCCGTCTCTGGAGGTAACAACTAAAACCGTGTTTCTTACCTGTGGTCCGCGGTGGGTCGGCATGCTCATGCCAGTTAGTTCGCTTCATCTTTCACGTGATTGTGTGGAGTTTCTTTCATGCTACGTTGCTCTCGCTACAAGGTTTCTAATTCTTTCAGCCATCCCCCCCCCCCCCCCCCCCCTTCTCCCCCCCCTTGCTTACCCCCCACGGGTGCGCCTTTGAGCCGTTTTCTCGGGTCTTGGCTCAATTGCGCGCTTGGTGTCGTGTCGGTGGTGGGGGGGGGGGGTAGGGGTGTTCTGGGGTTGCTGGCATCAGGGTGCCCGCGTGTCAGATAGGATAGCACGCTCACGCCAGTTGGTTCTCTTCCTCTTTCTCGTCATTGTGTGGAGTTTCTTTTCTGCCACCTTCCTCCCCCTACAAGGTTTCTTATTCTTCCAGCCCTCCCCCCCCCCCCCACCCCGCCTATTTCCCCCTCTGGTTTTAGCGACACGGGTGCCTGCTTTGTACATGTTTAGGGGGTCATGGCTAAATTGCGCCGTTGTGTCAACGGCGGAGGAAGGGGGAGGCGTTATTCATTTTAGGGGCTAGCTGCCTAAAGTGGAAGCACCTAGTTAATGCTAGTACCCAGCCTCCGTTAAATTGGCAGTTGTTAACGAATGGATATTATTGCAGGACCTTGTTCGTTTGAGTCTGGTTTGTGCGGTTGGAAGGATAACAGTTTGGGCACTTATCAATGGACTAGAAACAAAGGTGCTACTATCGCGGCTGGTACTGGACCAAGTGTTGACCACACGTGTGGAAATGCTTCATGTAAGTAATAAGTCATTTCAACAAGATTTTTTGTTTGATTGTATTATAATGTAAAAGACCAATACTTGAACCGTTCAAATCCCCTATGCCTTAACACTGTTCTTCGTACCTTGAAAATACATACGAAAATAATCTCGGTTTAATACCCAACGGGCGCAAAAAGAAAGGTGTTTAAAATACTTTTAGCGAAAGTTAAAGCAAACGTAAATATCTTTTGTTCGACTATTCCTGTCGCAAAAAAGGAAACGCTCCTGTTGCAATATTCGCAAGCTAGAGTATTCAGTCAACTCTGTCCTAAAGGACACGTGTCTAAGACGGGCATATTTTGTTGGTTCCGTCTCTGAGGTATTTTCAATCCTTTTACTGTTTAAAAAAAGGTTTAAAAGGTTTAAAGGCCTGTTTATAGTGGAAGGTGCACTTAGCTTATCCAGTTAGTTTACAGTCACTCCACTCAAATACTTAGAAACAACGAAATAATTCAAATACAACATAAATGGATTAAAAACCCCAACTGGCAGGAGGTAACCTGTTGGCTATTTACAAGCGTGGCCGAGGATTTCAACTCTGGACGACCGAGAACAAATCCAGCAAGTGGCCAGAGCAAGACTCTAACCCGGGACCGCCAGATTGCGAGTTTGACGCGCTGATCACTCGGCCACGCTGCCTCCATCAAACTTAACCACGGCTACCGAGTTGACTGATTGTGGCTGCTTGCTCGCCAAATAAAATCTTATAAGCACTCAAACCAGAAGTGCGCCATTACGAATAGAATTGGTTGATTGTCATTTTTATTTCAAAGATGCGGAAACCTTTCATAAAATTCGTCTAGGTTTGTTGCGTTCCTCAGTTTCTAAACATGATCGTAGGTTTGCAATCGTTGTTGTTGTTGTTGTTGTTGTTGTTGTTGTTGTTGTTGGAGGTCAAAGGTGGTAGTATGGAGAGTAATTAATAGTTGACTTGTTAGTTTTGCGAAAACATTTTTTTCGGGTTATTTTCTTCATACTTTGAATTCAAGGTTATTATGCGTACGTCCACTCTGGTGCTGGTTCCTGGTTTGATGATGCCAAACTGCGAAGCCCCAACATGACCAAGACCGGGGCAGGATGTGTTGTACGCTTCTACTACCACATGTATACTGCTAGCTCAGCATTTACCGGATCTCTTTACTTAAAACTTAAAAACAAGGGAGCAACATCTAATCTGTACGAAGTGTCCAGCAATCAGGGAAATAAGTGGAAGTTGGCCGAGGTTGGTTTGGGTGCTTTGGATGCCGGTAAGTCTTTTGGCTGTAAATCAATGTCCAGTGTTTGCAGTGGCAACTGCTTGAATAGCTCAAAATCGACTTAGATGACGACTGGCTTTTGTAAATGCAGACTTTGGAATTGACAAAGCTGATTGCTATCTGCTTAAAAGAAATCGTTTTGAATTTTGTCACCAAATGCTGGATGGCGTGTGCTTTGTGTTATTTACAATCCCGTTCCTGAATCCCGTTAAGTCCCGAAATTTTTTTCGGATTAATTTGAAATTGCTTAAAATGCAATTACCACTGCAACGATCATATCTTCATTTAAATTTGTGATTTTTGTTCGTCATGACAGTGTGATTTGATCATTAACAAATAATTAACTTTTTTTATCATAATTGCAAATATGCACAAAAGGTACCTAAAACCCACCGTGGCACAGTCCCTTTACACTGCAAGGATTAGATTTAACAATTAAACATCATTTTAACATGATGTCTTTGGATTCCTTTTTCTAGGTTTTAGTCTTGAGTTTGTTGGCTCCAAGTTTATATCAGCGGCGGATATGGCAGTTGATGACGTCTCATTCCCAGGTTGTGCTCTGCCACCCATTAGATCGTGTGCTTCAGGAGAGTACCGCTGCACAAGGGGCTCTTGTGTGAAACCTAATCAGGTGCCTCCTAATTTTTTTTTTCGTGCACGTGTCCAGGTTGACTAAGGAATGCCAATAGTTAATCGCTCTCTCCTCTTTTCAAGTCCAATCTAAGAGTAATGGATAACTCTTGCTTTAATATCATAATAGAGAAACACATTCTTCTCCCCCCAAAAATGTCAATTTTGCCTCCTGTAAGTAGCGATCTGGAAATTTTCAGGTCCTGGGGCCCGTTTCTCAAAAGCCCGGTAAGTTTTGAGCCTGAACTGAAATATTCAAATCGCAATGTAATAAGAGCGCGGGTCCTGGCTAGCAAACTACTCCATTTTCTTCCATTAACTAATAGTTGTATCATGTTAGATGCAAAACTATTGAAACCTCGATCTTAAATGTAAACGGAGACAGCTTACCGGGCCCGTTAATTATCGGGACTTTCGAGAAAAGGGCCCCTGGCCTTTTATTGCTGCATGTTTCGTGTCTTTTCCAACAAAGGACAATAATGATAATTTAGGTTATTTGTTTCCTGGCGTATATTACCAGATTTTACCGTTGGAGCACAGAATTTTAAATAAGACGATCGTTATCAATGTACTTTTGTCTGGATTTTACACGCGATCTTCTACGCGCGGGAAAAGCATGTAGCGACATGTGTTAAATAGAAGAAAATTTGACTTGAAGGTATGCGACTTTTCTGACGACTGTGGTGATGAGAGTGACGAGCTCCCAGCTACTTGTGCCACTTACAAAGAAAGATGTGACTTTGAAAGAGGGCTGTGTAGCTGGACACAAGACACTGACGATATTTTTGACTGGACAAGAGACAGTGGTGGCACTTCATCTTGGCTGACTGGTCCAGGAAGAGACCATACTACTGGTCAGTGTGCATTTGGATTAATACACCTGTTTAGCTTGTATGTTTTGTTTTCCCAATAGAGGTCTCAGGGGAACTTCACCTTTTGTCTTTTCATAATTCATGCGTACATTGGCAAGTGAATAAGACGAAATTTGAAAGAAAGACTTCTCTAGTGTATTATCACATGACCTGTTTTGGGAAAACAAAACATACAAGCCAAAGAGGTTTATTGTTGTGGTAAGAAATGTTTAGTCTAAGGGGTTGTTTACATGGAGATGGAGAGAGGGAGATCCTAGCACCAAGAAGATCCTACAAGGGTGAGCAACTTTTGGTTGGGTTTACGTGCAGAAATTTCCGCCCATGTGGTGCCCGTGTGGTACTAACGCCAAACTAAACAGTTGGCCTTAATTGCCGTGATTAGCCACCGAACGACCCGCCGCTATTTTTGTCTGTATTGTCCCTTGTACTCACTGCTTGTAGTCCAAAGTGTCGCTAGACTACCATCTTCCTAGCGAAGGCAGTTAAGTTTACATGGTGCTAGGATCTCGGCTAAGTAGATCCTAGTACTATTAAGATTCTAGCGCTGGGGACAGATAGAACCCTTTGCATTTTAACATATCAAATAACACATGGCGCTAGGATGATCCGCCTACTAGGGTCGTCTTGCTGCGAAGATCTTTCTTCCTCCGTGTAAACAACCCCTAAATGTACCCATACAAATAATTATTAGAGGAGTTGTTCCTGTGGCCTCATAACACCATGTTGCAGAATGTTGCAAAGTTTTGCAGCGGTGGTGCTGATGTTGATGGTGATTATGATGATGATGACGAGGATAATAGGGAGCAAGCAAAGACGAGAACGGCAAAAGGACAATAGGTTTAGATTGGCAAAACAACAACTTTGCGCGTTCAGCAAGCTTTATTGCATATTTCTTTGCCGACACCGCACGACCACGACGTGAACATGCCAAATTTCACGTTTTGTGGAGGACGTGATCACAAGACAACGACTTTCGTTTTCTTTTCCTGAACTTCGAAACAGTCTTTTAGAATTCAATTCCAAAACATGGCCAACATTTGACGATTTGATCGAGATGTAATAGGCGCGATAAAGTTTGAAGCAGCGCGAATTCCCTTTTAAAGTGACGTTTTCGTAGCCGTCGCCGTCGTCGTTGCCTAAGCTCCCTAATGACGATGACACTAACAATAACCACCTATAAATTACCGAATCCACCGTTGTGTTGCTCGCTGTATTTAATTCTCTCATATTTGGCGATGTTGCATCTTGGCTAATATAAAGTTGAAGCTGTTATATTTTTCTTGTAATCATTTTCTTTTTCTCTTTAGTAAAAGTTTCTACTGTACGTTTTACTTGTTAGGAACAACGAAGGGCTACTATCTCTATATTGAAACTTCATCCCCACGGAAACATAACGAAACCGCACGTTTGAGCAGTATAACTTTCCGATCCTCTGGACAAAATGGCAGCTGCTACATGCGCTTTTGGTACCACATGTTTGGCAAGGATGTAGATACACTAAGCATAAAACTTAGGACTTCTGTTATAGGACCGCTGAGGACTATCTGGAACAAGACAGGTAATATAGTACAAATGTTAACACCGGCCAATCAATATTTCAACGTTTCAACTCCGTCGACCTCTGTTTTATTAATGTTTAGGTACGTGGTGTGGCTTTATGCCGTGAAACCAAGATCCAGCACGAGAGCATCGTGAAATGAGGATGATTTTCGCGCTAGGAACCTTTCAGCCGAAAGGCCTTAACATTAATTTCAGGGAAATTCATTTGAAGTGTGACATTCGTCTTGTCTAATGACAACTGCGTAGTGCAACGGTGTTCTGGCGTTATACACCCGAAACGTCAGTATCTTCAAAGAAATTTATGACACTTTTGTTATTTGTTATCATCCTTATAGCTATCTAGCTGTAAGTGTCACATATCCCTAACTGATTTTCTGTTCACCACACATTTACCGACAGATCACAATGTCTTCTTTTTGCTTTAGGTCAACAGGGAGACTTCTGGAGGCGAGCCGAGATACGTCTAAATAGTACCGTAAACTATCAAGTGGTCATTGAAGGCATGAGTGGCCCCGGTTACCAGGGAGATATTGCCATAGATGATGTGTCTTTTACGCCAAGCTGCCGGCCTGACAGTACTGCAACAATCTCTCCTATTGTCCCCACTGGTACAGCACCCCCAGGCTGCAAAGCTGGCCAGTTTAGGTATGAGGATATAAATCTACATCGCAATAAGCTGGCCACAATGCTCTGTGCGTTGTGATTTTGTGGACAGTTACCTCCAGATAGAGCTGGCCAGTTTATCCCTAAAGTGGAATCATATGTAATCCATCGTTCATTGGTGATTGAATAATGATCCAGTCGTCCAACTCATATAGTGCACTTTAGAAACAGACTTAGGGTTAATCTTGTCTTCACGTTAAATATGTTGTCACGCAGCGGTTGTGTCTTTTTCACCGAATTTTAACCTTTTTACTGCAGTTGAGTCTGAGTTGGCTTTCATTTGTTTGTCAGGTGTACAAATGGAAATGGAAAATGCATCGATGTCAACAAAGTGTGTAATTTCCGTTCTGACTGTACTGATAACTCAGACGAGGCCACTTGTCCAACGAAATGTGACTTCCAAACTGATTACTGTAAGTGGAAAAACGCTCAAGTTGGGGACAGATATGACTGGATCCGAAATAAGGGTAAAACACCATCCAAGTTTACCGGTCCGTCGGCTGATCACACGTACAATAGCTCGGCAGGTGAGTGGTAATGGATAGCACCGTTCTCAAATATGATCCTTCATTTTCTTACCAGTGTTACCTTGAAGAATGGCATTGACTAAATCTCAACTCAAACAGAAACGTTTGTTTTGAAAAATTCATCTCGCAAAAGGACGGACAAAGGTGTTTCCTTGCCACCTTTGTGTGGTCCAGCGATGCCTTTCTTATATATCTCGGTATGAAAAATGTACATGAAATAAATCGTATAAGAACTGCGGAATGTCGTGTTCCAAAAAAACCCCCACTTATCGGTGTTTATGTGATGCTCTTTCAGGTTATTATGTGTATACTGAGGTTTCTAATCGCACCGGCTTCTACGCGGATGCCCACTTGATCAGTCCATTTTTTAGACAAGCTGGAAAAACATGCAAGTTCAAGTTCTGGTATCACATGTGGGGTCCAAACATCGGTTACCTCCAAATTTACTACCGCAGAAATTCACGCGACAAACGGCTGTTAAGCATTTTTGGTAACAAAGGAAACAAATGGATCCAGGGACAAGTGGATGTTCCAAAGTGTGCTAATGATTTCCAGGTCGGCAAGTTCTTCTTTTTAATAGGATGTTAAATGGCTTTAAACTTTCTTCTCCAGAGGTGGCCATCGCCAAAAGTCAACCAAATTACAAATTTCATTTTGGAAAATGCTGCAAAACAAAATAATAGTACATTCTACTGAAGTGAGTTTATTTGAATGGTGTCACCACAGGATTTCGTCCACAGACACAAACGTTTGTACCGCCTTACTAGACTCCATCAGTCAGTCTGGGTATGAATGTATTACGCTAACAAAACTTAGCTACGCGTTTTTAGCGTATCAAGAAATGGTCTATTGTACCTGGTCCAATTCGCCAAAACAATAGCCTTTTGTCCTAGGTGATGCTGCCGAAAAAAGACCGAACAGTCTGTGCGTGGTCGTTTAATCTTTGTAATACTAGGGGGGAGGAAAGAGGTTTTTTTTTTTGCCTTGACGCGATGCTTTTGATTGGATCGTGCTTTTATACTGAGCGCTCTGAACAAGAAAATGTGATTTCAGAAATACTTTACAGAGAACGTTCTTAAACCGTTGTTAAACAAGCTTATTATTTCGCGCGCGTCCTACATTCAAAGGAGCGATCTTTGAATGTAATCCATACCTTTTTCTAAGATTAAACGACTTTCGTTCTTATTCTCACCCAAGCGGCCCAGAATACAATACCTATTGTCTTCGAAATGGACCCGCTTTTCTTGATACGAGGGAGAGCAGAAAAACCGTAGAACTCAAATAAAGAGGCTTCACCCACTTATGTGTTTGTCCTAATGCCTTTTTTTTGTGTGTGTCCACTTCACAGATCGTAGTTATGGCTAAACATTACTCAAGTGGAGCACTCGGTGACATTGCTGTTGATGATCTGAGTTTTGAAAGCTGTGCACAGCCTTTCCCCCCTAGCAGCTGCAGTGGCGCCAGTGTATTCCGCTGTGATAGTGGACACTGTGTTGATCAGTCAGTGAAGTGTGATTTCGAAAAAGATTGCTGCGACGGTTCAGATGAGAAGAACTCGACTTGTGCTGGTTACAACAGGTAGTTAGGTTGACGTGTTACACATGCGCGGCCGTCTGGCTTATTACTCAATGACTATGCTCAGTGAGGTCTCATTTCTTTGGGTATTTAGAACCAAAGTCGCCAATCAATTATTTTGAAAAGCAAATCACCGTCTTCTGTGCTGTCTGTTGAGTGCTACTTGATAAGACTTTTTCGAATCAAATTCATGAGAAGTTTGTTTCCCACCTTGGGCAACTGTACGTCCAATGGTTGTTGGATTGTGCTGCCCTTAATCATATCTTGGAGTCTGCTTTGTTGTCTCAGAATTTCCTAAGATACTCTATTTCTTGCAGATGCAATTTCGAAACAGGTCTCTGTGACTTGACACAACTAGCAAACGATACTTTCAACTGGAGAAGACAAGCAGGAAGAACAGGTTCATATGGAACAGGTCCTTCATTTGACCACACCACTGAGTCGTCAAATGGTAAGACCTGATCTCTTTTTATTCCTCTATACACATCACAACACCCCAATATGGTGAAATTAAAGAGATGGATATTCAAAAGAGCAAAAACGTTGCTTGCACTCTAAACAAAATGAACCTTAGGCATTGTATTTTACGCAGAAATGAAGTTTCCTGCAGTCTTCTTTCTTTGTGTCTCTCCTAATGGTTCTTGCATATCACTTGTTAAAGAACGGATCACGGCAAAAGGCCGGGGTAGGAGGATAGCTGTGACACTATTTTAATGGCTGATGCAACGTTAATCACCCATCTATGACGGTGGATAAGTGCAGCGATTTTATTACGCTCATTGTTTTGCTAGTTTTGTATGGTGTGTCCGAGAATTAAGGCGTTGTATTTGTCAAAGAAACTCCGCTACGACTTAGAACAGAAACTTGTCCAGCGTCAAAAGGACAGTAAAGTTGACAGGTGTGGACACGTAGTAGCTGAAGCCATGCAAGAAAGTAAAACTCTTCAGTCTTTCAAGTCTCCACCTTAAGGTCAAATAAGTGAGCAGTAGTAAGCATTGACTTTTCACAATGTTGTGTGCATGATCTTGCCTAGTATTAATTTTACGGTAACTGTGACTTTGCGTTCGATCACCAGGCTACTACATGTACATTGAGGCGTCCTCTCCACGTAAGAGAGGAGACAATGCCATGTTGGGAAGCGTAGTCTTCAAACCCACCACCACATGCAAGTTACGATTCTTTTACCATATGTATGGCACGCACATTGGAACTCTGAATGTTTACACCAGATCAAGCACAACCGGGCCACTAAATAAGATTTGGACAAAAACGGGCAGCCAAGGTGATAAATGGCTCAAAGCAACGGCTAGTATAAGTGTTTCCCAAAACTTCCAGGTGAGTGCAGCGGATAAATTGATTTGATCGTTGACTAGTGACAAACAGAAGTGTCAAAACAAATTTTACTGCCCAATTGGGAATTGTTTCGCATTCAAAAAAAACCTAGAATGGTAACTAAACGCTCGTTCAAACACAGAGGACAATGCCTTGGCAATTTAGTGCATTTTAGTGTCATTCAATCAAAAAGGTTCCCAACTAAATGTGTCTGCTCCTGACTAGAAAATACGTCGTGATTACAGGGACTCAGTAGAATTAAAATTCATTTACGCCATTAGTTTTGTATGGAAGTTACTAACTATAAACTGGGAAGCCCTTCCGATGGCACTTCAATGGTTTTTTAATGCAATACAATACAATACAATACTTTATTCAAGAGATGAAAACTAAAGTCACAAAATATCTCTCGAAAGGCGATATCTAAAAGTCAACCCTATATAAAAGATTCCCCAAAATAAAAGGTGAAAAGGTAAAATCTAGAATCTAAAACATTATAATTATACAGAAAGAAAAATCTAAAACCTAGAAACTAAAATGAAAAACATCATCTGCACATCATATTTTAAAAAACTATTACAATCGTATCAATCAATATTCATATAAATCCTTAATCTTTTGCAAGATAAAGTCAGCGATCCTGCGTGTACAACATCTTTAGGCAAATTATTCCACACATTGACGATCCGTACAAAGAAAGAATATTTGTAGCAATTTAGGATGGCAACTTTTACATAGAGCTTATAATCGTGATTGGCTCTAATTCGATTACATTTAGTAAGTTCAGAAAAGTCCGAAAAACGGAGGTTATCTATTCCAAAAACTATCTTGTAGCACTGAACTAGAGATTAGAACACTCTGCGTTTCTCCAGAGTGAGAAGTGATATACCGTATTGCATGATTTCATCAGGTTATCTTTGAGGCAGTTGTTGGTACATCATATCAAGGGGATATCGCTATTGATGACAGTTCATTCACAACCCAGTGTAAAGTTGGTGGAACCATTCCAGGTAAGATTCCTGAGCTCACACGGAGCACGCAGAATACATACGTTCACCAGAGAAGTATCGTAAGAGAAACCTCATCAGGGAACCCTTGGTGGGCAAACCTTTCACGTTTCGTTTCTACCTACTATATTTTGACGCTTTTTTTGTCGCACTTTTGCAACAGCAATGTGAATTTTTTCGGGCAGGTATGACTTCATCCGTTCCGATTAATTGTTGAACATGAAAATTTGTTTGCAAGGTGTTTACTTTTATGCCGGGTAGTTCTTCTGATTAACCTTGCTTGTAACGAGTTCATCAAAAGTAGGGGACTTTGTTAAATTCAAGACTTGCTTCTTGCCCTGAAAGACCCGGCATATGAAAACTTTAAGTAGTCACCTGTTAATATTTCCGAAAATGTGTACTCAAAAACTCGAAGAAGGAGCACTGAGAATGTTTTTCTTGAAGTCAAGGTTTTTCCTACAAATGAATTTGTTAAACCTTTCTTATGAAACTTTTTTTTTCAACATTAGGTCTCCCAACGCCCTCTCCAACACCAACTTCACCAACGTGCTTCAAGTGTTCAAATGGTCCTTGTATTGACTTGAAAAAGAGGTGTGATTTCGTCGATAATGACTGCTCTGACAACTCAGATGAGACATCTTGCGGATATCCTTGTGACTTCAGAAATGATATGTGTGGCTGGACTAATTCCAAGGTTGACAACTTTGATTGGCGAAGGCATAGAGGCTGTACTGGGAGCTTTTATACAGGCCCTTGTAAAGACGCTGATAATAGCACCACTGGTGAGTTGAGTCGATCTTGGAAGTCAGTCAGAGTTCTAGGCTCGATTTTTGTCTTTTATGTTTCCATCTCTCTCAGGAAAGTAGAAAATCGACTGATCCTGATTTTGTCTGTGGTCAAATGTAAATCGGGAGGATTAAGAATAAAAAAAATTAGTGTAAATTTTGGCGAATGAACTTTCCATAGGCCCATCATTATTGGGTTTCATTTCACGGATTCACGGAATTTGCAAGAATTGAGAAAAAGCTTCTTTCCAAATACCGGATTTTCAGTCACTAGCGGACGACTCAGAAAAAAAATTGATTCTCCCAACACGGGAGTCGATCCTGTGACCCCTCAGGTTACTATTCGTAAGATGCTCTACCGCTCAGCTAGCCACAGCAGGAGCTTCGCGCAAGTTAAACCCATTTAACTAGGTGCACGTGGCAAACTTGCTTGGACTGGAGTTCTGGTTGGTTGGTGTTATAACGGTATTCGCATGTCATTTATATGGCTAGATGAAATCCATCATAAGGACGTCAGACACCCCATGAAGACTTCACACTGAGGAAACCTAAAGGAATAAAGAGCCTGGGAGCCTTGAAATCTCTCCACTTCATTAATCTCTTACTTGCCTTAAAGTCTTCCCTAAAGAAGATTCTGTACCAACAGTAGGAAATTCAGTACAGTTAAAATGCTTACTATTGTTAATCATTGCTTAACGCTGCTAAACAAGCTTTTATTCTTCTGAAAATGGCGACAACGAACACCAAACGAATACTACGCTGTTTAAACATCATGAGGTGTCCGACATTCTTTGGGATTTCATCTAGCCTCGACTCTGGTAGTAACTATTGAGCCTGGTAAATAAAAGACAACTGATGTATTTAACTCAACCTTTTTGAAGTGCTCACGCTAGTATATAAAGAATCCTTTGAGAGACTAAGAAATGAATCAATTTAAAGGTTGACTGGCAATTTATCGCTGATTGTTTTATTTCATGTATGGAAGGTTACTACTTATACATCGAGACCTCAACTGGCTTGGTAGGCAACAAAGCTGTCTTGGTGAGCCCGCAGTATCAACAAACCTTCACCCGCGTAAGCCCGTGTCAGCTGTCGTTCTGGTACCACATGTACGGCTCCTCGATTGGAACCCTATCAGTTTACCTGAATGACGCAACCAGCAGGACTAGAGTGTGGTCCTTACGTGGTTTGTATCCTGTTAACCGTATTACTTGTAATAGAAACAATTCACAGAAATTCTAAATATTTTTTTTTGGTTAATTCCTAAGAAATAAGTAGTACTTTGCAAAAGCCTTGTGGAGGCGTGTGTTGCCAAGCAGTTAGCACCTCTTACTCCGGATCTGGATGTCAGGGGTTCAAGCCTCGCCCGTCGCGATGTTTCCTTAGACAAGGAACTTTGCTCCACTTTGGCTCTCTCTACTTAAGTTTATAAATGGGTACCGGTAGGAGATCATAATGTCCATAATGACCTATTATGGCTCTTGGTACCGGCGATATACTGCTGAGGGGTAACTCTGCGATGGACTAGCATTCCGTCGAGGAGGGAAATAGCAATACTCCTAGGCATGTCTCATGCTAAGGAAACCGGGATAAGCTCCGGCCGTTTGAGCCTTTGGCTCGTGTACGTCTTTACCTTTTTGCAAAAATCCTACTAGACAAGTTTCATTTGAATGGTAACACCAAAGGATGTCATCCTTTTGCTTCTTTTAACACGAACACTACAAGAGTCTGTTTGGATATAAAGTATAACACACGTACAGGAGCTAATAAACACATTAACAATATGTCTAATCATTTACGGCCCTATAAGATATTTTCAATAATAATTGAGGGGAGAATTAATGAGAACAGTTTGCGCGAATGTTGTAGATATTCAGTCCAAACTTAAAAGCTACAGCTATTCGGAAAACTAGTTATGCTGAAATTCTAAGTCGTTTATTAGTAGTTTTATAAGAGGAAGGTGTGAATGTTGTGAATACATGTCAGAAACCTGTATTTGTGAACATGTCCTGTTCTTCTGAATGACGTAAAAATAAAACTCGCACATGTATGTACCAGGCTTCTTCACCGCTTTTTGTAGAAGGTTTGAGACGGGCAGATCACAACTAGCTTTATTTGAAACGAGACGAACGAGAGTCTGTTACACTCGTGTTGATGGGAGAGGGGTTCTCACCGGTTACCTTTTCTATAATGTCATGGACTGTCCCAGTTCATTGTAGGGAGTTGGGGGTTGGGGGAGGGGCACTGCAGGTGTTATGTGTGCCTAAGAACAGTGTTGGTTTGCTATCTTCAATGTATCAGGCAATCAAGGAAATAAGTGGTACAAC